CACCATCCAGTTCTGTAGACAATATACAAGGAAACATAATTGTTTGACAAAGGAGATACAAAAATGTTAGATTTAAATTTTTTGGTGGGATTTTCAAAAGTATTCAGCAATCTCATCTAACTCTTCTCCTGTTTGACAATGCTCAGCATGGACCTAACTCTGACCCTTCCATTCCTTAAAAGAGTGACAGATAATCGAAAGTAACATCAATGCTAGCATCAAAATGCAATGTTAATATTTGTGTTAATATTTGTCTTTTTAATATTTTTATGAAAAACCATTTGCATAGAGAGGCACTAATATCTTGTGAAAAAATATTGAAAAATATATTTTAAAAGATTTTACTGTTTGTATAACCATTTGTTTTGTGTCGTTATTGGCTCTTTTTTATTAACAACACAAAATCTGTGTCATAGTGCAATATCTATTAACTGGTTACTTTAGCTGTTACATTACTATCCTTTACATGGGAGTTAATTGTGATGTATATTCATGACTACAAGTGATGAATAAACAAGGATCAAAGAACCTTTCTTATTTATCTTCGTACAGTTTTATCAATATCAGATCAGTGTGAACGTTTTCAAACCAGGGTGCCTAAATATATTTAGCTCGCAGTCTGACCCCTATATCTCTTTCTGCAGTACCCCTTTCTAGGTAGTCATTTGCCATTTTGTATGTGCGCATCTGATTTTTCCTCCTTAAGTGGAGTAGTTTGCATTTGTCCTCATTGAATTTCATTATATTTACCTAAGACTATTTCTCCAGTTTGTCTTGATTATTTTGAATTATAATCCTATCTTCCAAAGTTTTTGCACCCCTCCCAGCTGGGTATCCTCTGCAAACTTTATGGCTGCGTCTAAATCGGCATGATTTTGCGCAAATACTTTTAAAGGAAAGTTTTTTCCATTAAAAGTATTTGCGCAAGACCGCATCTATACTGGCATGTGCCTTTGCGCAAAAGATTTGCTTTTGCGCAAAAGCATCCGTGCCAGTGGAGACGCTCTGTTGCGCAAGAAAGCTCCGATGGCCATTTTAGCCATCGGGCTTTCTAGCGCGAGAAATTAATGTGGCTGTCTACACTGGTCCTCTTGTGCAAGCATACTTGCACAAGAGGACTTTTCCTTGAGTGGGAGCATCAGAGTATTTGCGTAAGAACCACTGATTTTGTACATTACAAAGTCAGTGTTCTTGCGCAAATACTTGCGGCCAGTGTAGAGAGGCGGCAAGATTTTGCGCAAAATCATGCCAGTCTAGGCACAGCCTATCAGTGTATTCTCTATGCCATTATCTAAATCAGTATTATTGTGGTGACTATTGCTACTTGTTAACAATAACAAAAAAGAGGGCATCTTATGAAATAGATATTACAAAATAAATTGATCAATTAATCAGATACAAATACATGATTTATGAATCTGGCAATGTAAATAGTGAGACTGAGACCTAGTTTATCCTAAAATCTTTTGCTGTTCTAGTCATCCAGAGAACTAGTGTAAAGCCAAGTTTTGCAAGTATAAGCTGTATCTTGACTAAGAGCATTTGCTGGTACAAAGTTTGCCCATGCACCTTTTCTAGAACAGACAAGCACATATGCACACACACATACTTTATGTCCAATGCTCTGTACTTTCTTTTTTAATCTTCTCCAAAAAGCAATTTCAGGAAATGTGGGAGGTTAAGCTCCCATAATCGTAAAGCTATGATGGATCATTTTTTTGAGTTTACTTTGTCCTATTTGTGAAAAGGGAAAAAAGATTTCTTTTCTAAGAAGGTCCTCTAAGGTAAATTGAAAAAAAAAGTTATGTTAAAATAAATATTTTGAGCTACTTTTCTTCAGGGTGAGCCTGGTCACTAACACAATTTATATTGGTGCAAATCCAGAGTATGGTTTTACTATCCATTGAAAAAAATAGAGTTACACCAATGTAAAAACAATATAGGCGAGTAATGGAGTAATTGCCTTCAAAGAGTTATAAATAAGTACAGATTAAGTGAATTGGGTTTCAAAACATAGCATACAATTAGCCACCGCAGCAGAGCTACATAACTTCAAGAAACTATTTCCTGTTGCCTTCCCAAAGAAAATAATATCTGATAAATACAAATTATGACCCAAAAAACCCCAGGTGGTCATTTCAATTTTATCAGGTTAATTCAGAACAACTGTGTAGGGATAATGAAATGCATATTTTAGAGAATCTAATTGGACATAATGTAAGTAACATCTTTATTTATTATCACCATTACCATTAATAATGAAGAAAACACTTTTAACTGGAAAGAAGATCTTGTGGATCACACTGACAGAACGTTTTATAAAAAGTGGGTTATTTGTAAGGACCAGCTCATGTCATTACTAATCAAGGGTGAGCTAAATATAATTGGGAACATACTGTGCATTCATGCACAGATCTGATCTGTTTTTACCTGCAGTGGATCTGATTTTAATCACACTTGTATTATTGCAAATCTGGAATAACTCCATTGAAATGGGGGTGGTTGTACTGATATAAAATGATCTAATATAGATGAAATCCATGTTAATTTATAGCTGAATCAGTCCAAGTATTACTACTGTTTATTTTTCTATGAATTTTGTTCGTATTTTTTACGTATATGAATTCTTGACCTGGCTCATGGGATCCTTCTCCCAGTTCCCTCCTTTCCTGTGCTCCGCCCCCCCCCCCCCCCCCCCCCCCTTGCAAGCCGGTGGCTGGGCAGCTCCAGTTGTCCGGCTGGCCGGAGCTCATAACAGGTCTCAGATTTGGCCTGGAGTGGATCGTCATGCCAGCAAAGAAAGGGCCCCCATTATGCTACCCAGAGCCAGATCTGGTTACTGTCCCCATTGGCAGAGGTGCACCCCATTCTGCCTCTGGCAGGGAGGTAGGAGCATGCTGGTCACAATCCAGATTGGACAGGCCATCTGGGAACCAATGGAAAGGCAATAACCAGAGGCTCATATGTGTCACAGAGCAGTAGCTGAGGCATTGAGTGGTATTGCTAGCCATATCTATACTCGGTCCTGTGCTCCTCTCTGTCCCCATCAACACAGGCTCTGACTCCACACATTGTAACACCCAACTTCAGTTGTTGCCTGTTCATTAGATGTTTGGTTCTCAACTCCCAAACAACCTAGGTGAGTTTCAGCATTATGTTGATTAGGAATCATTGCTGAGTGAAGTAGTATGAGGCAGCAGCAGCTTTATTACTTCTTCCCTCAATGACGCGGCTCAGTCTTAATATATAAATATATATCTGGGGCAGCACCCTCCCTCTCATTATGCACTAGGCCTGCTGCTCAGATTTGGGTGAGCCAGGATGTAAACTGTGTGGGCCATAGCTTTACCCCTGCTCAAACCCCTCTTTACTCCTAAGAATATTTTCACAAACCACCTATGGTTGTTGCTAATACATGTACAGCAAGATTGATTTCTTGCCTCTTACAGAAAATGAAGGGACTCTCTTCTAATGAAATAAGTCATAGTGTTTATTTATTTATTTATTTTATTTGAAATGTTAGCATAATGCTGCCTGCAGTGATGCCAGAGCATGAGAACTAACCTATGGTCACTCTTTGAAGAGCCAGGGAACAAATCACAGATGGGTTGTGAATGCCGTACTTACATTTCACCAACCAGTTATCAAGTGTAAATTCTTCAGGCACTATAACAGTTTTAAAATGGAGTCACAGACTCCTTGGATATGCTGTTCTAATCTGCCACCCAGAATGAGCATAGTTTTTTAAGAGATGGTCCCTTGACAGTAAGATACACAGCAATATTTGGGTTACCATCAGTCCCAAAGGATTATACATAGGACAAAGAAAATGCTTGTAGCTAGTTCTAGAATAAAGATTCATTCTATAGAAGAGGAACCAAGAACATTATTTTATTAGGTTAAAGCAGGTAAACATGTACACACAATGTATTACAACCTTTCAAAGCTGTTCCCCACTCTGGCAGTTCGATTGCAGATTGTGGGAGCCCACAAGAGACCTTAAAAATACCCTGCCTCTGGAGGCTTCTGTTTAAAAAAAATTCCTCAAGGCCACAGATTCCGTGATCTCAGGCGATATGCTGCCACCACCCAAGTGAAAAAAACCAACCCTTTCTTCTTGAACCCAGGAAGAAATCACTTGGAGTACATCTACACAGCAGTGTTATTTCGGAATAACTACACTACAAGCAGTTATTTTGATATAATGTCGAAATGATGTCGAGCTGGAGGACTTCTTACTCCAACTCTATAACTTTCATTTTACAAGGAATAGGGGTACGTCTAGAATACAGGCTTCTGTCGACAAAGAGCGTCTAGACTACATTGAGTTCTGTCGACAAAGCAAGCTGCTTTGTCGACATGGTAGTGTGGACGCAAAGGACAGTTTACATGCAATAACACCTTCTGTCGACAGAAACTCTGTCAACAGAAGGCGTTATGCCTCGTAAAATGAGGTTTACCAGCGTCGACAAAACTGCTGAGTTCTGTCGACGTTATGTCGACAGAACTCAGCGGTAGTGTGGACGCAGGTATAGTTTTGTCGACAAAAGTGGACTTTTGTCGACAAAACCCTGTAGTCTAGACATACCCTAAGAGAAGTCGGAAGAACAGTGCTCTTCCTTGTACTTCCTGCTGTGTAGACAGCAATTGACATAGCTGAAGTGGCATAGCTTATTTCGGCTTTAGCCCTGCTGTGTAGATGTGCCCTTGGAAACTTCTTCCAGAGGGATACCCTAAGCTCTTTTACCACAAGAGTGCTTTAAAAAAAAAAGAAAGAAAGAAAACAAACTGTAATCTCTGATATCTGACCTTTCAGTCTTAGGCATATATACAGAGACCCTTTATTATCTTCCAGGACACAAGAATCAGATTCAAATCTTTAAAAATATGATTTTATTAAGAAAACAAAAGTTAACCTTGGTAAAACATACTTGATTGCTAGGTGTTCTAGAGCAACTAAGAAAAACAGATTAAAGCACGAGAATTGCTTCCCTGGGATTCAGTTATAGTTAGTGTGGGAGGGAGAGGCACATGGACTTAGCACAGAGGAATTTAACCAAACTACAAAACCAAGAAAATAAACTTATTGCATCTAATTAAACATTCCCTATATACTCTCATATCCATACTTCCAAGGTCCTGTCCAATTCTAGGCACAGGTATTCCTTTTCTAGGCATGGTATCCTTGAATTAAGCAGGCAGATTCCCTTTCAATTCAAATCTCAACACTTCTTTCCTGCCAACACTTCCTAGCTATCTGGGTTTGACCTTTAATAACTGAATGCTGGGATGTTTTGAAAAGGACAGCTCCATCATACAGCTTTGTTTCAAAAAGTCATAGAAATGTCTAGAATAAGAAATCTCTATATGCCCTCTGATGGTAACCCAGAGTAAACAGCAGGAGTTTCTAGCTTATACTTAGCAAACTTTGCCTACCAGGATCCAAGCACCACAAAGATCCAGTTTCTTTTTTAGGGGGTTTAATTCCCTCCTTTGAGCTGAGATGCAAACTCAGCTGACAGGAGAAATCCATTTGCATGTTGCATTTTCACAAAGAGAAGACAGAACAATCATCTTTTGTTCTCATTAATGTAATGCAATATTTCACTTGGAGTCGACGGATTTTTTCTGTTCGGCTGTATGTAACAGTTTCTTTTTGAGATCTGCATTTCACACTGGTTAATGTCACTGTCCTGTCTATTGATTTAAACAATCACAGAGGCTCACTCATCTTTGATGGCCATGTACTCAGGGTGGCTAGCCTATGCCGCAATTTGCGCTCCTGCAACTACTTTTTATTTTTCTAGCAGAAGCTCAGTGAAACCTAGAGCAAGAATGTCTCCTTGAGCTGGGAATCACATCCCCAGCTCCCAGTGTAGGCATGCCTCTAATGTATAAACTAAAGATAGGCCAAGACAGTGGTGCACTTGTGCTGTCAGCTCCTGGAAGTGAATTGTCCAAGACTGGCAGAATGCTGTTCTCAACCAAGAGTTCTCATGAATGTAAATTGATTTCCTAGATATGCAGATTTTTGCATTTTTCAAGGCATGCTGTAAGGTTCAGCTAAATATAAAAACAGTTAATGGTGAGGGAAAATGTGAATATACAGTGTGTCCCATTTTGGTACAAAGGAGTACAAAGCTAGTATACAGCCATCTTCATTCACCCCGAGCTGCAAAACAACTGCCCTTTGTTTCTTGCTTTATCATGCTTCATGGTGTCCCATCATGTTGTCAAATCCACAAGGGTTGATGAGCTGACCTGGAGATTAAACAAAAACCTGATGACACTTTCGGATGAAACCATGTTATTTATCAGGCATTCAGCTTGCCTTTCTATCTCTCCTTTCAGGGTCCTGTAGGAATGCAGAGAATTGTTTCAAAGCCTCGTGGGGGGCGGGGTGTTGTTTTGTTGGGGTTTTTTTGGTCTTAGTGCATGAGAAAGTTGGATTTCAGGGTAGAATTATGTAACATTTAGCAGTCACTGTGGATTTTGGTGTATTAGTATGCACCTCAGCATATATAAACACTTTACAAACATAAAATATTTAGCATTTCTGAATGATGCAATTTTGTACATTTAGATACTAATTGGCAAATGACAAACTATCTAGCAACAGCAGTACACCATGAGTCCAGTTAATCTAGTTTTTATGCCTGAGAGATTGTCTCATCATTTTTTAATTTGCATAAGATAAAATGCACATCTTTTCCTGATGCCAAGAAAAGTGTAAGCAAGAATGATTTGCTGTGTGAGTTGTTATAAGGTGTCAAGGCTGCATTAGCAATGTGTTTTCTTATAGAATATGAATATAGGTGACTGCTTGGGTGTGTAATTAAAAGCTTTGTGGTCTACTAACATTTTAAATTATGGTGGGTTTTTTTTCCTTTTTATTTAAACAACACTGAGATTGGTGGTTCATTTGTTTATTTATATTATTGCCAAGCAACTGATAGGCATGAATTTTCTGAAACCTCGTCAGGGAGAACCCTGCTCCAGATAAAGAAAGTCTGAGGTAGAAAATGGATCCTGTATGCAGTCGTTTTGAAATGCACACTTCTGAAAAATCTATAAATGATGTATAATTAATCTGCCTCTACAGTTTGACACTGAACTGCACCAAAAAGACCATAGTATGTATCTACCATGTAGCAGGCACGTGTAAAATTATTTTGGCTAGTTTTTTAAAAAAAGGTTTTTAAATTTGTGTTTTTCATCAAACAGAAGAAGAAAATATGACCAGTTCAAAAATTAACCTAATGTCTTGCTTACAAGAGTTTTGCTGAGCACAGAAAACATAACAATATATCACTTACATCTCTAATGTTTTCCAAATAGGGATGTAAAATCCCATTTAATTGACTAACTGGTTAAACATATATAAAGAAAAGCGAGTGGAGGGCCCACTCCAGTCTGGCTGCCCAGCCAGAGAAGCCCCTGCCTGTGGCTAGGGTCCCAGTTTGGAACAGCCCCTGCCCACGAGGCACACAGGTCCACCACAGACAGAGGCTACTCCAGCCAGGACACCAGAGCAGCCCCTCTCTGCAGGGCACCTGGGCCTGCCACAGGCAGGGGCTGCACTAGAGCTGCCCCTGTCTGCACTAGAGCTGCCCCTGTCTGCAGCAGGCCTTCCTTGGGACTGGAGCTGCAGCCCCACCAGTTAACCTTAACTGATAATCCTCACCCATTAAGGGTGATGCTTACTGGTTAAACCTTCACATCCCTAGTTCCCAAGACTCAAACCTTGCTCACACACTAAGAAAAAGAACTTGGCAGACTATGGGTTTGTCTACAGAAACAATTTAGTGACAAGCTAGGGTATGAATCTTCCTGGTCCTGAACTAGGAGAGCAACTATCCATCTGGACCTTTCTGATTCATATTAATGGTTTGTTAATGTGCCTTGACATAGTCCTCTTTGATATGGGACTAATGAAAGTACATTAACAAACTGTTATAAGCATCAGAAAGGTCCACACAGAATTAGCCTCTAGCAGGCTAATGCTAGAGTATAGTTCTGTGTGGATTCACACTTCAGCTTTCTTCAAGCCAGTTGTTTGTGTAGACTAGCCATATGTATATCAATGCAAAATGGTGATGCCTACCATAACATTCCCAGTGTAGTGCTTTCTACTATGAGTAACCATTGACATTTATGAACAGTTGATTGTAGAATTGATCTGACAATTCCTTTGACCCCACTGTGAATGCCCATGCAATTCAAGGCTTGGACTCCTCAGCCACATGCGAGTCCATAACCGATGAGCCTGTGCAATCTCAAGACGTCATCTTTGGACACGATGGACTACCAACATTGTAAAAATAGGGCCTAATTTTCACTAGTATAAAGCAGTGTAACTTCATTGACCTCAGTCCTCAGGTAGAGCTGAGCTCTGCTTGTTAGATAACCAAGCTTGAGGATGGAGGGAGCAAATGTGTATGCTCTGGGGTTTTTTTGAGATCCCCTAATCCCTGGAGCTGTTGGAGTCATATTTGGACTATGACCGTACAAAGGGACAATGAATCTGTCCTATTGAGGTCAATACAATTACTCTTAATTTTATTGCAGATGAGAAGGTAAATCAGTTGTATTTTATTTACATGTTTCCCATAGGCATACAGATTCATGTGTTAGTTAATAGTTGTGATGACTAGTTTTAAAATGTTTAGATTTTTTTGAATGCAAAATAATCTGCAAGCATCATTTTTAAGTGTTGGTGACCTGTGACATCCACAGTGATCCAGCTGAAATGACTTATGTAAAGGGACTGTAGGAATATGATCAAGTTAATGAGAAAAGTTTTAGTATTAATAAAAGAGGACGTATGTAACTAAACAATTCTGCTAATACTGGAGACATATTTGCATAATTGGAAAGTTACTACTTTCCGCATTTTTCCAGTGCACCAAGAGAAAATTAAACAAACAGCAGCCCGTCAAAACACAAGGTATTCAGAAAGAACCGATAAAGATAATGCAAAATGAATAAGGTTTTTAGATAACTCCTCTTTTCACTACATTCCTGTTTGTTAATAAATATTGAGTCTTAATTAAAATGTAAATGGAATTCATTGCTTGAAGCAATCTGCCACAAATTCATGTCATACTTGAATAGATGCTACAAGTCAATGAATAATGGAGGCAGGGAGGAATTATTAACTCCATGTTAAAATATTTTGATTACTGTGTCAAAAGTTCATATTTCAGTGGGGAGTCTGGGTGTGAATACATGAGAAACATATAAGATATAAAGTTTCAGAAAATACTTGCCTTGCCCAGGAAAATATATATTATATTAAATTATATAGATAAAGATTCTGTTTCTTTTAGAGCTGATTTAATAATTCCGAGCAAATAATTGACTCAGGAAACTCAGCCTCCTTTTTTATTCTGATTGGGTGATCAGTGACCCGATGACAGTTTCCACATGTGGGGTGACTTTTGAGTTTTAGCTGATATTTCTCCCCATTTTAAAAATTATAGACATTTTGCTGTATTTGATCATTGATACTCAGAATTCTAGAAGCATTGCATAGTTATGATTGGTCACATAAATCGTGTCATTTCTGGTCACTGATTTGATGAGTGTATCTCTTATGGCACCTGATCCAAAGCTAATGGAAGTTGATGAACATCTTTCCATTAACTTCAATGGCTTTTGGATTAGGCCTGTAGGTATACTATGCTAGTATGCACAATTAGGGTATTTTAGAGGATGTCAAATCTTTCTTTTTCTGAGCAAAGAGGACTAGCTTGACATAGCTTTTCTGTAAACATTAGACTATAATAAGACTTATTGGTCAGTTGCAGAATTTAATTTCCTTTCTTGACATTCATACAAAATTACTGCATGTATTATCCAACTTGCAAGGTGTATTCAGATCCCACATTGTCACAGCCTTTGTGGATCATTTAGGCTTGATCCCATTACCATTTATGCACATGACACTTGTCTACATGCTGATACCATATGAACATATTTTTATAATTGTTAGTACAATAAATACTAGCAGAAATTTGAAAAATTCAGGATGTTGTATTAAAAGGAATACAAATGGCAGCAAATCTTTGGCTACAAAACCCTTTGAAGTTAATGGCAGTCTGCACTGACTTCATTGGTCTTAAATCAGGCACTTAAGCTCCTATCCAGAAAAGCACTGAAGGACATGCTTAACTGTAAGCAAATCAGTAGTCCTTGTAAAGTCTTTGTGACTAGTCAGATACCTAAAGTTAAGGATGTGTGTCAGTGATCTGCTGTGCTAGGGGCTTCAAATGAGAAACTGGAGCAACTGGAAAGGAAAAAAGATGGAGAGTTACAGTAGGTTAGTAACAAGTGGATTTATGCTGCAGTTCCTTCATACAAATCAATGAGATATGATGAAGATTCTATTTTGACTTCCTAACCTGTCATATAACTTGTTTGCTCTTTACAGTTTCAAAGACTCATGTGAGTGGAAGAGCATTAGAATCTCCAAAATAGCTGCAAAAACTCCTTTAGTTAGTTCTTATTAAGACTGTTAGATCATTAAAAAGAATATATTAAAAAGAAGTGTGTATTTTTTTAAACAAAAATGAATTAATGATTGCTTTTAAAGAAAGTAGGTCAGTGTGGAAGAATCTAAAATTCTGTCACTGCTCATGGGTTAAAGTGAACAGTTAGCATTTTGCCATTATCTTATCTCAAATAATCTCCTTTTGCTTTCATTTCTACTCTACCATCAGATAAATGTGTTGTATTACAAAGCAATGCTTAGCAGCTTATCCACTACACTGTATTACAACATCTCCCTGCTTCCACATCATGCTTCAGTATTACTGTGATGTGCAACATTATAGATAAATATGTCAGTGTCCGAGTCTCCTAATCACAGAAACAAAATGTCTTATTAAATGGCAGTACAAATACTTCACTAGTTTACATTAATAACTGTAAACCCTGTAATAATTTGTTGACATTTGTGAGAAATTCCACTCAGAGCAGAAGGCTCAAATATTCTTTTCTATGGCACCTAAGACATACTTATACTGTTCATTGAGGGCTTATGTAGTAATAAATAATATATAATACCTACCAGGATTAGTTGGTATTAGCAAAGCATAGAGGCTTTCTCATGCACCAAATTTATATCACTAGCCTTTCAAATTAAAAATGTGTGTAGTGCCAATGGAGAAGAAAGTGACTGGTGCAGTTCCATGTCCCACGGACAATTCTCTGCTACCTAATTCTCCACTTCAAAATGTCAACACTTAGAAATGCCATTTCTAACTTACACTAACACTCTTCTGTGTTTCTTCCTCTCCCCTTGAGTGAAGGGGACTGGACTTGGTGACTTCTCAGGGTTCCTTCCAGTCCTGTGATTCTGTATTTCCTTGCTTAGTCTTAGGAAAATTACCTTCCTTCTGTACTGCACTCAGAAGAACATGAGTTCATAAAATTGGGAGGCCATTGCATATAGAAATATATATTTGGGTTCCATGAATACAAACAATTTGTACAATCTATAAAATACAGCCAGTTCTGATCCAGTAAACAGATGTAAATCCAGAGAAAGTTCAAGATCAATGAATTTTCTCTGAATCTACCACAGTTGTGACTGAGATGAGTCTAACCCAAAATTCCTAAAAGATGCCATTCTGCATGGTCACAATCAGAGAAATCCACAGTTTATGAGGGTAAAGTGTTAGGGTAGATGAGATGGTAAAATCTTCTTTGCCATTCTGGAACCATGATTCCAAAGTATAGGCTGGATTAGCATCTATCCTTTCCACTTATTCAGAACACTAAGGTTGCTGGGTCCATGGGGTATCATGGTCATACCTGGCTGACCATAAATATTGCCTTTTACCAGCGACGACACCCATGTGAAAACCACACTGGAGCAAGATTTATGCATGCAAATAGGGCCTTTCCTCATCCCTCCACATTGGGGTGTATTTTACACTAAAAGAGTAATGATAAGTATATTTCCTTTCCGTACCATGGTGCACAGTTCTCATTGAAAACCTAAACTTGAGTGTTCAGGAAACAATCCAGCTGAAATAATTTTGCGGTATTGGAACTAACTCCGCACACGAGTAATTTCTACTCTTTGAAAGGCTAAAATTGATCCTATGTGATGCCCTGTGATTTCTTTCCAAATAAATTGGATGTGCAGCTGGCACTCCACTTGAGAATTTCTAACAACTTTGTGAGACAGGATCTGATTGTTACAGGCCCTCCCCATGCTTAATGAAAATTAGTTTATGGGCATGAATGTGCATAACTCAAAGATGCTTTGTGCAAAACAGGGCAGGTAACCTATCAAGTTTACAGTTACAATCTGCTGAATCTCTATATACTATTTTTGTGCATGCATCATTATTGCATGTGACATTAGAAATATGAATCTTTTTATATTGCTAAATGTGCTAATAAGGGGCAATAGTGATATTTTAGGTACTTAATGACTCAGTACTCAACCCAATGAGCTGTGGATGACGATGTTTGTTCTGTATGCCCAAACTCTGGTTGGTCCACATGTGACCATGCTACCTGGTACTGGAATCCATCTTGAACCTGGTATTTTTACATGGACATTGGGAGGGTTTCAAACAAAGGGTTCCCACCCTATGGGAAAGTCTATGTAAGCAATGGGAAACCATTAGTCTTTTGTCTTCAGCTGGCCTTTGAAACTGCTTGGCCCATCCTAAGAGGATACTTGACAACAAAAAACTCTGATAAAGCTGTTGACCGAAGTCATAGTAAAGATCAACTTTGACTTGAAGCTCTTTACCTAAGATAAGAACAGCCATTTAAGGTAAGAACTTGCATGTAACAAGTTTTTTAGTAGATTAGAACTAGCTAAGCAATTTTGTTCATTTTAATTCAGTAATTTACTTTGATCTGACTTTCACTTGCAACCACTTAAATCCTACTTTATATTTAATGAAAACACTTTGTTTATTATCAGGCCCCTTGTAAATAACTTCTACTAAGGGAGGGGGGAGCAACCACTGTGCATATCTCTCTTTCATTGATAAAGTAGGCAGACCTTATGAGCTTTCACTGTGTAAAACTTTAATCTGAGTGAGACAGAGTTGTTTGAGGGTTTGGTTCCTTTTGAGAGTTGGTTTCTGTTACACCTTGGTTCGGTGATGTGGTGGGAGCCTCAAGGGTTAAAGCCGACTACCCAGTGAAAACTACTGGTTGATGGTGAAACAAATGATTTTTTTATTAAATGGAATGATTCTTTTATCAAAACCAAATAACTTTCAAATGATTTTAAAAAAATAAGCAATTACCTAATGCTTATACAGGGTGGTAAAACCTAAACTTAGCTATACTTAACTAATTACAAACTTCTTTGATTACAATTCAACTATACCAAATCACTGTTTCTAATTCTCTTAAGGCAGCGCAGCATGCAAGCAAAAAATACAAAAACAAAGCCAATATAATGATAATAAAAACTTCGTCCACAGCCAGCCCCTTTATGGTTATTTTAGGCAGCTGGTGGAGTTAGTCATTAATCTACCTCTACAAATTAACAACTCCTGGGTTACTATTTCTAACACTTATACTTAACCTAAATACCACACCATTACACAACACAAGATTATACAATTTACATAGTATGGTTAATAGAACTCAGTTACACTTTACAGAATTACACAGTGAAATTAACATGATTCAACTGTTAACTAAACCAATAACTAATATATTTAAGTAATACTTACAAATTCAGCAACAATAACAACATGAAGACACACAAAAACTCGGAGCATGCTCAGGAATCGCTCACCCCTATCTTTGACTCGAAGGGTGGGGAGGCAGCCTCAGGGTGATCAATCCTTCAAACGGGCAAAAAAAAGACATGTGCCCTCAACACTCAGAACCTCGCTGAACAAAGGGGTCGAGGGTCTTTTATAACATAACCTGATATTCGGTACCTTATTAGGATTTGTTCCCTGGCCGGGCCTGATAGGCTGGTAATGAGGTAATGTGAAATATTGCCCTATAGGATTTTTCATGATGCCCACCTGACGGCCCCTTGGACTGTGACGTGTGTGGGCATGGTCAGTGTGCATGGCAGTTGCATTTTATCTCCCTCAAGGACCGGTCAAGAGAGTCTTATTTATCTCTTGCAGCTGTGTTCTATCTTTTCATGCTCACCTCCCTGTTCTATGATGCCTACAAGGTTAAATTCCGTTCACAAAAAGCTACATTGTGCGTCCCATGTTCCTCTGAGTATCTCATGGTCTGTTTTCATAGAGGGGCCTACTGTGGCAGGATGGGCTGTACACAAAGGCCATGGTCAGAAAAAGCCTACTCTACAACAGTTTCCTGGTTGTGAGCTCTTATAGCTGAACCCTCCCAGCACTGAACTGGTTCAGTGTCTGTGTTGCACTGCTGGGGGGGGCAGTAACTCCAACTCTATCCTTTTGACTAGAGGAGACCAGAGGGTTTAGCCCAACAGGACAGAATGGTGGGGAGACCCTGAGAACAGGAAGGTGAGTATCAGTGGCATGATCAGAACACCAGAGGATAACCCCAAGAGAACTTCTGTGATTCAACCTGTCACATTGATCACTGAAGTAAAGTTTCTTGAGTCATATATTATAGTGAAAATTAGGTTCTGGCCACTGCACAAAGCAATCAGCAGAAAAGGTAACAAACCCCTTAGCTTCAGGTCTTTTGTACAGCACGTGATGTAACATTCTACAGTTGTTATAGGCAGGGCTCAAAAATTTATACAATCTACTCGCCCGTGGCAAGTAGATTGTAACCTGGAAGAGCTGGGTTCGGGCGATCTGCGCATGCGCAGATTGCTGGACAGCGCAGCTGGCGAGTGGGGCTCGCTGCGGTTCGGCAAGCCCTGGTTATAGGAATTCAATAAGTGACTCAAAGCCCATAGTCCTGATGGTGTTTCTATGTGTAATCAAATCACTGCAAGGGTTCATGGCTTTTGCATAATGTTTAATCTCTGAGTGAGATAATATTAGCATAAAAACACAAATATGTTTTCTACATTTTTTGTGTGTCTGCTTCCATAACTCTTGCTATAGAATTAATGTCTATATGGGTATGTCTACACTTGCGGCCTAATTCGAACTAGGGCTGCAAATGTAGGCATTCGGACTTGCAAATCAAGCCCGGGATTTAAATATTCCACGCTTGATTTGCATTTTCCCAGCCGGGTGCCATTTTTTTTTTTTTTCCGGAATAACTGCCCGCATCTACACGCGTCAGTGAAACGGGCATTCGAAATAAAGCCCTAGTTTGAGCTACCTGTTATTCCTCCTGCAATGAGGTTTAACAGGTAGTTTGAACTAGGGCTTTATTTCGAATGCCCGTTTCACTGACGCAGGTAGTTACTTCGGGCTTGTAAGTTTCAAAAAATGGCAGCCGGCGAGGAAGATGCAAATCAAGCGCAGGATTTTTAAATCTCAGGCTTGATTTGCAAGACTGAATGCCTACATTTGCAGTCCTAGTTCGAATTAGGCTGCAAGTGTAAACATACCCTATGAGAGCATAATTCATGGCACAGTAGTTAACTGTATACTTTATCACTGCTCCTGCTACATTAGTGAGTATGAGAATAATATATTTGTATCCAGTAAATTAATATGGGTGTAGAAAAGCAGGTCCCTTTAAAAGTAAGGATCTCATTCCCAGATTTATAAATATTATTTTATGCTCTTGAGTTTATTTAATAAGATTTCATGTTTCCTTTTTGTGTAACAATATGCACAACAGAAATAATTGTTCAAAGAAATGTGGGATAAGTAGCAGCAAGGAAAGGGAGGGGATAAGGTGACCACCTGTCCAGTTTTCGACCAGAATGCTTGGTAAAAGAGGGACTGTGGCATCTTGGGTCAGCCCCTCCAACTGGGCCATTAAAAGTCTGGCTGGTGGTGATGCAGGGTTAGGGCAGACTAGTCCCTATCTGTCCTGTCACAGTGCTGCAACCTGGAAACTGTCAGTAGGTCTTGCTCCTAGGTGGGGGTGGCCATGGGGCTACAGGCATGGCCTCTGCCCTGAGCAGTGGCTCTGCACTTCCATTGGCTGGAAATCAGCCAATGGGAGCTGAGAGGCAGTGCATGGAGCCTCCTGACCCCCTCCCCACAACATGGGCACCAGACCCATGGGCTTGCCTCCAGGTTGCAGCACAGAGCCAGGATAAGCATGAAACCTTCCTTAGCCTTACTGCATTACTGACTGGGATCTGACTGAGGTAAACCCACACCCCAAGCCCCATTCCTGCCCCCTAAACTCAGAGCCCCCAGGTAACCCAAATCCCTCATCGCCATCCCATAGCCTCACCCCTTCGTGCCTCAACACCCAGGCCACAGCCCCTCCTGTACCCTAAACCCTTCATTTCTGGTCTCAACCCAAAGCCTACATCCCCAGTTAAATCCCTGACCTTCTTCTACACCCCAACCTCTTGCCTCAATCCAGTGAAAGTGAGTGAAGTTGGAGGAAAGTAAGCCATTAAAAGAGGAGGAATGTAGTGAGTAGGGGTTGGGGCCTGGGGAAAAGTTGGGGAAGGGCCAGGAAGGGATGTTGCGGAGTGGGTGTTCTGTTTTTGCTATTAGAAAGTTGGCAATCCTAGGCTGTGTGTAGACTACATCCCTTTTCTCGAAAAAGGGATGTAAATTAAACACTTCAAAATTGCAAATGAAACCGGGATTTAAATTTCCCATGCTTCATTTCCATAATGGTGACTGCAGGTTTTTTTGAAAAGGGGCTTTTCAAAAGAAAAACAGCTGTTTAGAGGGGGATCTTTCAAAAATAAAAACCCTTTTCAAAAGATCGTGTTAACCTCGTTTTTTGAGGAGTACAGGATCTTTTGGAAAAGTGTCTTATTTTTGAAAGATCCCTGTCTAAAGAGCCGTTTTTCTTTCAAAAAGCCCCTTTTTGAAAAAACCATGCGGCCGCCATTATGCAAATGAAGTGCGGGAAATTTAAATCCCGTTAGTGTCTAATTTACATCCCTTTTTCGAGAATAGGGCAGGGGCAGGTATGAGCTTCATAAGCCCCATACATTTTTGCTGGGGGTGAATAGCACCTTTGTGCCCTATGATACTCTCCTTCCTGAGCCCAGGCAACATAATTGACTCATTTGCTACTAGGTACAGTAAAACTCCAGTTGTCCGGCATCCAGTGGTCCAGCACTCCTGCTAGTCCAGCACCACCTGGAACCCTGAAGTGCTCCAGGCAGCTGGACAATTGGAGCTGCTCTACCCCGGGTTTCCCCAAGTCAGCCACTGGTCAGTTTCATCTGCGGCTGACTTGGGGATGCCTGGGGCAGAGCAGCTGGGGTGCTGCTGGGTTGGTCCCGTAGTGCCGCCCCTCGGCACTTCAGGACCAACCCGGCAGCACCCCAGTTGCTCTGCCCTGGGCTTCCCGGAGGCAGCTGCTGGTCAGTTTCAGCAGCGGCTAACTTGGGGACGCCCGGGGCAGAGCAGCTAAGGTGCTGGGTTGGTCCCGTAACGCCGCCCCTAGGAAAGTAAAACTCTACTATAATGTTGTGGTGTATAGCATACCTTACCTGGGCTGAGCACTGCCATGGCTAGCATTGCATCAAACAGTCTTAAACAATACACATATATCCCTCCAGGGTGGAACCTCTGCAACTGTCCATATCTGGTAGGAATTGCCTCTATGTTAATATTTTAAAAAATGTCTTAGAAATTTTGCCTGCTACAGGTGCCACATCAAATACATACAAAACTTCTGAAGTTCCCTCATATGTTTAAGAAAGCCAGGTGTATTATAAAATTGTTCACTTATACGATAGCATTTCTTTGATGGAAAGGATTTCCTGACTAAGAATGTCAGTAGATGGCGAGCAAGTAATGCATTAATTACTTTCCTGTGTGTGAAATGTGTTTTTAAATATTAACTTGGACACTAATTTGGTTATATTTGACAGTGACGGCAAGTTGACATCATTAAAGTTAATGCTCTGCCTCTTTTTGAGACCAAACACATGGGGAGTGAAATTGATTATATGAATTGCTTTTATTGAACTTTATGAACTACATTGAATGAATTTTCTCACTGTGGCTTATGGAGGCTTCCAAGCAATTAGTTTAATAGTGAACTAATTGTTTTTTAATTTAGCACTATGTAATTTCTTTTAGGATCTGACTTTTTTTTCTATCTTATTGAATTACATTTGTTTGTTTTAAAGGTGAATAAAGTAAAAACAAGAATAGCATTTGCCAATTACTATCCTCTTTTGATGTATAAAGACAATTTAAAGCAACTGTTTCACTACTTGTCTTTCAGACATTGGATATGTCTGGAATAACTGGTCCTCACTTTCCTCTTTGAATAAGGACTTTAGTGAGATCTTTGGAGAACCTAAATAGTGCTACAGCTTTCCTTTCTTCCTAGGAATTCATACAAATTGATTCTCCACTGCCTTTCATCTTATAAAGTCTTTTGTATCTGTGCAGAGTGGATATAAAATTCTGATTAGGTAGGGTTTTACATCCACTTTGAACTGATGTGGTACACAAGGTGCAAAGCAGTAGAGAATTGGTTATTAGGCCCTTCAGTTCAGCATCTCATTCTCCGCATTGGGAAGACAAGCAGCAGTTCATTACACAGCTTTCTTTGATAACAACGTAAAGTTGCTCTAGCTAAAGTGATAATCAAACTCCCGAAGTTTCAGTTCTTCTTTGCATAGCATCCTGGTGGTTACACCACTGTAGGTGTAGCCATGCCTATGCTTGGTATTGGAGATCTTCTATAGCTTTGCCCATTGGGTTGCATATGCGCTTCTCCTGGTCTCCCACTGTCTATATAATAGCATTATGTGGTCCAACATGCTTAGATCCTT